TTTTTTTTTTTCGTTTTTAAAACGTTTCCCTACGAGGCTACGATTTTTTCCTATGGTTCGTTTACAAACATTTAAGTTCACATACACATGACACCCAGACCCGGAACAACAATCTGTGGATCGCACTAAGATTGCGCACCAACCGATTGATTTGAAACGAATTGATCTATGTACATCGATCGATCGACATCATTAAATCATATTCATAGACAGTGACGTGACTCACAACACCTCTGAATAGTAATTCACATGTGAGTACTAGGCCACAGAGATTGCCTATTAAATTCATACGCCTTTGGTCTCATAACGGTTTGGTGGGTGTTGTTGCCATATTGTGATACACATACGTACGCATGCCAATGTTCAGCAGATACTTATATTTTTTAATAGGACAAGCCCGCCACAACCTCCCGAAACCGTTGCAACTCCTGTCAGCCAGGACCTACAGTAGATACAACCATAAAAACACCAGAAGACTGAAGTGCAGTGTGTCCTAGGGACATGAGTAACTGTCTTGGCTCCCGCAACGAAGTGAACCAGAAGATATTATAAGAGGAGAAGAAGAAAAAAAATCAGCAGATACTTATATTAGAACTACTAATCGCGATGCTGCCTCGCTGGCCGAGTGATCGCAAGTGCGACTGCCGGGCAAGACTGGGTTTAGTAGTTTAGTTTAGTCTAGTTCAGTAGTAGCACGGAGTCTAGAATTGTGCCCGGTATATGGCAATAGGCTCACCCCCTAGTACATGGGACTCATAATGTACGAGATGTTAGTGTCTGCGGGCGACTGACTGGGGGAGTCAGACGTCCGCTACATAGGCGTGAGTAGGCTTTAGCGAAGTGTTCCACGTGCGCTACTCGAAGAATCCCTTCTTCTCAAGCAGTCTCCCAGGGCCGTTAACGTGGTGTGACCGACCGGCCCGCAAACATAATGGTAGGTCGAGGCCTGCCGGGTGTGGTGATCCCGTAAGGGCAACCCGGGTCACGGTTACAGGCAGTGCAAAAAAAAAGATGTTAGTGTAGCATGGATCTCCTCAATGTAATGCCTAACTCTAGTCTATATAACGAGACGATAGATACCATAGATTATTATTTTAAGTTTCCAGATAATATTTTAGTCCTTAAGTAAGAATTTTAAATTGATAGTCATCGCGTGCCTCCTAAGACGATTCCTTCTCTCTACTTATGACTAACTATCCCTTTAACGACTACATTAAATATCACAATGTCCACTTACTAAAATCGATCGGTTTTACCTTAAGAATGCTATCTATGGTCACTTATTCATAGACCGACCTTGACAAATAGACAAACAGCTGAACGTAATAACAGTTGATTCGTATTCGTACAAACAAACTTTCGTTTAGTCACGCCTTCCTTCATTTAAAGACAGGTTGCCTTGGCAGTGGCTCAAACTCAAACTCAAACTTCCGATTCAGCTATATTCTATAACTTTCAATTCGAAAGATCGAAGTGCGAAGTGAACTCGTTTACGGTTCGACCTGTCATTGGTTGTGAGAATAATCTCGACCAATGAGGGCAAGAATACGGTCAAGTTCACTTCGATCTTTCAGATTAAATTTATAGCCTAGCTGTTCAAGTATTCGAGTGACTTATAGACTACACTTTGTCTGAGATCTATGAGTTCCGTGTACGCTACACACAATCGTAGTAAACATCGGATGCCATCTCTGACTTACTGTAATGTGTAACATAGTTTAAACATGTACATAACATAAATCACCATTCAATTCCAGGACACCAACGTGCTCGGCTTCAAAGGTCCAAGAAAGATGACAGTCATCCTTCCAGGAATGACTCCGGACCGCCAACGCGTCACCATCGCACCGCAAGATGACAGCGAGACCCTTCTGGAAAGACTCAAGAGTCAGACCTTGGATGACATAGTAGTCCTTCATAACAAAACTCCAGTTTGGAACGATGAAACTCAATCCTATGTACTTAACTTCCACGGAAGGGTGACTCAGGCAAGTGTGAAAAACTTCCAAATTGTCCATGATTCAGAACCTGATTACGTCGTGATGCAATTCGGACGGATATCCGAAGATGTCTTCACTATGGATTTCCGATATCCGCTCTGTGCTTTACAGGCATTCGGTATTGCGCTCAGCTCTTTCGACAGCAAATTGGCGTGCGAATAGTAGGCATCTACCATGTTTCTAGATCATTCCACCGATGCATTTATTTACTGAGATTTTTTCCAGTAATCACTTTGATAATAGACTAAGAAAACTTAATTAATTTACTAAAAACTCTAAAACCAATAATACGGAAACTTTTTACTCATATAAATTGATCTTTCTTCTTTCGCACACAAAAATCGACTTAAATGTTGAAGGAATAGAATGGAATGTTGTATAATGGCGATGACGTCATAAATGTGAGTGTATCATCACATATTAGTTGTAAGTATGTATTTAGCCCCATGATGCACAGAATGTGTTGATCAAAAAAATCAAAACAAGCGCACATGATTTAGTTTTTGGTGCTTTTGTGACATAGGTTGTGTTTGCCCACGTTTTAACTTGCATCGACTGTTTGAACGAACATCCGTAGTCTTAGTTCACCATTGTATATGTTTAAAATATATGACCCTATATAATAAATGTCAATTTTGGTTCATGTCTAAAAAAATCCAAAATTCTAAGAGCCTACTCAAAATTTCTTAGCAAGAAGTTTCCTTATGTCATTTTGCTTTGTGACTCACATAAGGCGGTGGTTTAAAAAAAATCTTGTCCAGTCTTGCTCGAATTTCGTTTAATAAACATCGGTCATAATTTTAAGCATAAATTAAGTATCATTTTATTGTGGTCCAAGGTTTAAACCAAGGAATAGACACATATAAGTACTTTCATATCTCATCACTTTTCAACTAGTAAACTACGCAATGAAGGAATTTATTTTATATCTACTCTTTAAACTAAACTACAGGTATTTATGCGTTACTTTTCGCTTTTATAACAAATTAAATTAATGTAATATCAATTTATAATAATGTATATAAAAATATTTGTGTAGTATCTATCTGGGTAGACATAAGGGCCTGTGTAGACAGTCAAAGAGCTTGTAGTATAACAGCAAAGAGTATCTGTTAAAGAAGTTTATATTGGCCCTTTAAAAATGTATGTATAGACCCCTGCACTTCAAACAACCCTTAGCCAAATAGATTTTAAACTTTGTTTGAAAATGATAAGGTAGAAATTCTATTGACTAATTGGGGTATTTTGTTATGCAGGTGTCTACCATTTGTACAATGAAGTATGTATTATTTGAAACGGGAAAGTTAACGCTTATTTAGTAGTTTGTTGTTTCATAAATCTGTTATTTAATTCGTTATTCAATGAATAATGTTCCTTCAATATTACGCACAAGTTTGCTTACTGTACCTACACAAAAAACAAGTCTTATGCATTCATTATTGTTTTCGGTTTACTCACGTAACTGTTTGACTCGTCTAGTTTCAAGTCATGCTAGGGGCTCATATTCATGAGTAGCATTCCAGCATAGCAGCGCGAGGGTAAGACGAAAACATAATAATTATTATAGTATGTCATACGAAAGTTTGAATATAAACGAGTCTTATGCAATTACCTAAGCACTTAGTCATTTGTATACTCTATCTGAATAATTTACAAAGCATTATGAATATTAATTGAATTGAAGCTTATTTTGAACCGAGAATGGACTTTAGAGAAGCATTTGAAGCATACATATTTCTCGTAGTCAATTCGTATTGCAGTATTTCTTTTTATAAAGCTGTGATATCAAACAGGCTATGATGAATTAGTGTGTTTATAAAATTTAACCATGCCGCAGGTAAATATCCTAGTCTAAGGCCATGTTTAGTAAATAAAATTTGCGGCCTACCCGCCTGATCGAAAACCATTAGCGTAGGTATTTAACGTAACTACTTACTTACACAATGTGTCCAGCAGCTGTAGCCAAATTCCATTTAGCTCTTGTCTACTTGTAGAATAGAAAACCAAATTATATGGAATTGATGTAAATTTTGACACTTGTCAATGTAATCCTCATACATTTAGTTTTCTACTCTCTCGATAGATAAGTGCTAAAGTGGCGTTTGGCTAAAGGCCGTCTTTGAAATGTCTTTCGAAAGTCCTTTCTCCTTCTTCAAATGATACAAAGTACCTTCTCAAGCAGTCTAATGCCATAATATTTGTAATTTATTTACAATACTATGTACAAACTATTTTTAAGTGTCACATAGCGTTAGTTTTATATCCTAGTCAACGTAGGTTTTAGTTTTATTTAGTACTAATATTCTAATTCGTATGCACAAATCAATTGTTAAGGTTTTCTTAGTGTTAGATAAATTATTTTGTGTCATGATTTCTTTTAATGTATTCTATTTTGTCACAATTATGATTAATTGTATTTTTTTTAAGTATTATTTAGCAGCATACAAATCTGACTCAATGTCAGTTATGACTGATTTATTTGTGTTCAATGTTTTTTGAACAAAATACCAGTTTTTTTTATTATAATTATTTTAAGTACTCTTTTAAATATTTATGTGTTAGCCAATTACACCGCGCCAGTATTATTTTGCAATAATTTGTAGTCCTGACAATAATGTTGAAGTACATTAAATTCGTACCCACTGCCTTCTCTCTGAACAAAATTATTTCTCAAATTAAATAAATTACTATTAGAATAAATAAATGTGCCTATAATTAGGTTACGTGTTTAGATAGCTAAATGGGAAAAAATAAAATGAAATTGTAAAATAAATAAATGATAAAATGTCAATGCGTCTATGTAATAATGTCATGAGCTTGTAGTAGTAATCGTGTTTTAAATAACTTGTTCTATTCTCACTTCACCTCATTGTATTGTGTACCTTATATAAGTTAAAATTCTAAGCACAAAAATTCCTTCAAAAATCTTTCTGATCCTGCACGGACACCTATAAATTCTCTTTTATGTGTACCCTCCAATGTGCACTAATGGTATTGAACTTTCTCTTTAAAGAAACTAAACATCAAAATAATAATATCATTAGGTACTTAAGTCTTGGAGTGGTCCTAAAAATCTTATAAATATCAAAATTGTTAAGAAATATCGAAATTGCCCCATGAAGAAAATGTTTACAGTTTACTTACAACCTTTCAGGCAAGAATTTGTATTGAATTTAACACTGCCAGGAAGACTAAAATAACTTTGGGGCTCAATTAAAAAACAGATGGAGTTGGTGAATGTGTGGTGAGGTGAATTTTTAGAACGTCAGAGGAAAGAAATTAGAGTAAAGAGGAACTGTAAATATAATATGGAAACGCGACGCAACACGTGTTGATTGGTCAATTTTTAAAATGGAATCAATGTAATTGGGCAGAATTATGACTATGACAGATTATGTTAGGTTGTGTAGCACAGCGTTTCAATACTATATTTCAGACGGTAGTTAGTTTTGATAATCGTGTCATTTTGTTGTTCTTACTGATGATTTGGTAAGGAGCAATGTAACAACTGATTTTTAAACCTAGGAATTGGATAGCACCCATCGTGCTAACATACTGATTAGCTACCTACAAATGTAAGGAAAGAGTTTGGCAGCAAATTAATGATAATAATCATAATATATTTGTTTAGTTAGGCATTTTACACATATAAAAATAACGTGACAATTTCATTTGGTAGTATTGTAAATATTAATGTATGAATTTTGGTGTATTGTGCCTTTGGTAACGATAGGTTAAATGTTTGTGCCTTTTATTTTCATGTTTACTATGTATTTTGTACCTGAGGCTTTTCGTAGGCACAGAACTACCCCCTTTACTAGATGACGAATCGCTTTTTACACCTTGAGATGTTTAGATTACTTATTTAAGGCAACTTTTACAAGTAAAGCTGTCTCTTAGACCCTAGAATAGTCCTTGTAGTGAATAAATGTTCATAACATAATTGAATTTGTGTAAATTAAAATCTTAGTCTTTTTGTAAATTCATGAGAATGTCCATTTACTTAACTTGTGAATTAAAATTTTTGCTCATAGTTATTGTGCAGTGTGTATAGTTAAATGTTCCGAAAATATTTAAATATATGCTTATTGAGATATATTGTTCATACCCTCCCCAATGAATGGATCCCCATAGTATGAAATCATTTATTATCTTGTCCCTTTAGTGAACCAAATTGTATAGCTATATCTATTTGTATTTTATTTTGTTCATAATATTGACCACCCAATCATGTAATGTCTAGTATTGTATTGCAATGTGAATTAAATGAAGTGATGTAATAATTATTCTTTACATTTTTTGATGTATGAAATATTTGTGATACCTATCTATTGTAAATAGCGATATGAAACTGAAATATTGAATGTAATTATTTGTAAGCTATGAATGAGGGTTACCCAAGTTCTCCGGGATCGCTTGTGTATGTAGTAAGAGGTCTCTTGTCTTATAAACTATTTGGTGCAATCATTGGACATTAATTTTGGTCAGCTACATTATTATCACCTTGTGGCTGATCCACAAGATGTTCACTGCTGAACTTAAGCCTTTCTCGATGACTTATAGGCTGGACAAGATGTCAACTACAATGATTGGACAAGATCTCATGCTACACAAGCTCCATCTGGTGAACCAAATACCGGTGGCCCTCATTGTAATGTTTGTGTTTAGAAAAGCACTGCGTTTGATGTCTGATTGTAATTTAACTTTGATATCATTTATTGGTACCATAGATGATCATGTGTGACTTATTGTAAACCAGTGTTACGAGAACAAGTTTGAACATTCCTTGTTTGTGATACAAAAATCATGATTTTGTTATCAATAAATTGTATTGGTGCAACAATGTTTTATTTTATTTTTCCAAGTCCCATCTACAGTGTGTTTGACCTCAGGGAACATCAGTAGGGAAGGTTTTAACTTGTAAAATAAGTAGTTTTTTCAAGTGGACCTGATTTCGGCTGAAGTGAGATGAGATCAACAAGTTAGTGTAATTTGATACAACATTGAATACTAAGAACAACAAGTTTAGTTTAAGAGACTTAGATTTACATGTAAATATTTTGATTTCAAACGAAGATTGCCTTTTTACTCGAAACAAGTAAAGTGAAACTAAATATTGATATGAATTGTAAGTTACACAAGTGGTGAAATATTTGGGTCAC